ACCGACGCAACGTTCCCAGCTCAGCCTCGCGTCGCTGCGTTTATTTCCCGGCGAAACCCGCACCGGCAGCCCATCCCGCACCTCAGCCTAGATCCGTTAGGCCGTCACCTGTCGCAACTCGCTCAATGGTTTCAGTCGCCCTTCACGCCAGTGTCACAACCACTTACGCGACCTCAGCTCGCCATCCAGCCCTCCCCGCCGGCGACCCGTCATTTGTAGGACCCAAATCCGTCAAGTTAAGCCCAGTCGCGACCGAGTCACCCGAGTTAGGCTCTGTCCAGCCCGAGTCCACTGCAACCAACCCCGGTTTCGGATTGCCCGCAGCCGTGCGCCGCCTCCCAGCCATCGCTGACCCGAGACTTGGCCGGTTCAGGCCCAGTCAACCCGGAACTGAGTTGACCCGCTCCAACACCCAAAGCTGACCCGGTCCAACCCGAACAGCATTAAATCTGACCCGTTTGAGCAACACCGATCTGGTTTTGCTTCTCCGGTCCATTTGCCCTAGCTCTCACGACTTTTCGATCTCCGATTCGAGCCGACTTATGGTATTTTGGCTTGAACTCGATTCCATTGGCTTAGTTGTGATTATGAGATATTATAAAATCGAGAATTTGATGATTTGAGTGATTATTGAATTAATTGGGATTTTTGGGCTTGAAGTGATTAATCGGGACTCTTTAAATGAATGTGATAAAATGGTGAAATAAATTCTATAAAATACATTGTGTTGTCTTGAGGTTTAGGTGTGAATTTGAGAATTTTCGAACTTCGTTTGATAAGAAAATGAGTCGGTCAAATGTGTTGACCGGTCGTAGCGATTTTGAGTTGACTAGTCTAGGAGTTGACTTTAGACTTGTTATTTTGACCGTATATCACGTTTATGTTGAGGATGTTACGTTTCGAATTTCATGAATTTTGGCCGTTTGACCTAGATCTAAAATCGGGACTTTAGCCGTTTAACGCGATAAATATAGAATATTAGTCCGGTTGAGATTTTAGCTGCAGTTGTTGATTATAAAATCGATATAAATCACATAGAAATTAGTGATTTGATTATTGGCCTAAAATGAGTTAGATTTTTGAGAATTGAGAAACCCTAATTTTGTCCGGTTCCAATAACCGGTAAATTCCATATCCGTATTTAATAGCCCGAACTATAGTACCGTTTAGATAATTTTTGGACGTCGTGACATTAATTCTTAACGTGTATCGTTGTCTCGCGCACGTGATCGACTCTCGTCCGACCGTTGGAGCCGAACCACCGAGTGCGTGCCCGGACACCGAGTTCGAGTCAAACCACAGAGTGCGTACCCGTGCACCGAGTCCATCCGACCTACCGTCTACGCGCCGTTTCGTTAGCCGTGGTCCAAGCACGCCCCTGCGTCAGTGACCGTGGCACCGTTACAAACTGTGCATCGGCTAAGTCGTGTTAGTCGAGTTCGTGTCGGCCCGAGTTGCCACGCTGAACTCGGACCACGGTCAAACCGAGCTGCACATAGTCAAGCAAATGATCGACCAGCTTCGAGTGATCCGTCAGTCCAGTTCAGTCGAACCGGTCCGGTTAGTCCGGACGGTTTGAGATAAATTTCAGATATCTTAGATAAATTGCAAATCCAGTCAGATTAAGATTTCAGATATAGTTAAGATTTCAGATATAGTTAAGATTCCAGATAAAGTTAAGATTCCAGATAGATCAAAGATTCAGATATAGGTTAGATTTCAGTCAGATTAAATTAAGTCGAATTTTAGTTCCAGACTTATAAATATTTCAGAGAACTCTAGAATGCTTCAAAGGCAATAATATTTTCAAATCAGCTCATATATCCCTAGAATAATTTTTAAAGCAAAGTGAGCGAACCTAGACAATAAGACATTAAAGATTTGAGTTTTATTCTAAGCCAGTACTTAGAATATTTCGCACAATATATTTTGTAACTTGATGAGAGTCGAGCCTCCGTCAGCTACCCATTTCAGCATTTTCAGCATTTGCATTCGTCAGTTTCCAGGTGGGGACCATGTACTGTGTATTTCATTGCTTTTAATAATTTACCATGTCTAAGGTCTATATGTGATAAAATTGAAGGACCGAGACAGATGAGTGATCTGATCTTGGTCAAGATGTCAGATGTCAGTTATGACTTAAATGAGTGGGCGATGCCCTGCCTAAGTCTAACGTCCAGATGAGTGGGCGATGCCCAGCCTGGATTTCTGTGGGAGGAACCCCCCAGAGTGTGCACATGAGTACTGATTTACCGTTAGTCTCATAGCCAGATCAGTTTATTCATATATATGTTGATTTCATTGTTTGTTATTAATTGTGTTGAGTATTTAGTTCCGGTCCTGGCGGAGCACCGTTGATTCCTTTGTGCTCACGCCTCCCCACTACCCTATTTTTCAGGTGATGGATTCCCGCGTGGAGCGTGAGCCGGATGTGGTGGTGGTCATCAGTCAGGATATTTGTGTTATGTTATGTTTTGTATTGTTTGATTTATTTATGCCTTAGTTATGTTTCATATATTACTTTTATGCCCTTGATGTTTGAACCTATATTTGCTTCTACATTCTAGAACTGTATTTCAGAATTTTAGACTAGTATTTCAGGATTTCAGACTAGTATCCAGATCAGTATTTCAGTAGTTCAGAATTTCAGATTAGTATTTCAGGACTTCAGACTAGTATTTCAGTAGTTCAGAATTTCAAAATTAGTATTTCAGAATTTCAGACTAGTATTTCAGTATTTCAGACTATGCATGCTTAAATCCTGAGATGTTCATGGCGTCTTATTAGAGTAATGCATTATACTCGGTTGCATGCCTAATATTTTAAAGATATTAAAGATTAAAAATATAAGATTAATGTTAAATAACATCCCGCGTATTAAAGTTAAAGTACTTTCGAAAAATTAATATGAGTTTTCGAAAATTAAATCAGTGTTTTCCATTTA